ACGACGGGCGAACGAGGCGCCGGGCCCCCCGCAGCACGGAGTTCCCGCGACGCGCGCTGGTCGCCCCGAGAGGGTCCCAGCGACGCGCGCGGGTCGTCCGCGGCGCGAGGCCAAACAATTAGTCGGGCAGTCGAGAGAAGGCGCGGCTCGGGGGAGACGCTCCTCAGGTCAGGCCTCGCGGATGAACTCGGTGAAGCCGAGCTCCCTGGCGAGGGCCGTCGCTTCCCTCCTGCACCGCTTCGTGCGCGCCGCAAACTGCTCCAGCTGCTTCCGCAAGCCCTGCGGCGGCCCTGCCAGGAAGAACTCGATGCGCGGCGCCCGCATGAGCAGGAGGTCCTCGTGGCGCGTGGCGCGCGAGAGCAGCACGTAGAGCTCCAGCCACCAGTCGTCGTCCTCCTTCTTGCCGTTCCCTACCTCGTGGCGGCCGCAATCCAGGATCACGCCTGGGCGACGTCGACCGAGGGAGCAGCGCGCCGGGCAGCCGACGGCCCAGGGCGAGAGTCCACAGGACCGAGAGATGGTCTGGCCGCGGACTGCTCGCGCCCCGGAGGTCTGGCCGCCCCCGGAGCGCCGTTCCCCCGCCCCGTCGCCTTCGCGCATGGTGCGCCCCTGGCACGCCACCGTGGTGATGACCCTGCCGTGCGAGAAATGCGGGGGGTGTGCCGAAATGGGTGGGGGTGACGCATGCGGGCGGCGGCACTGAGGCCTTCGGTGGAGCTCCCTATGGAGCCACGAAACGTGTGAGGGGTGTGCCGAAATGGGTGTGGGTGACGCATGCGGCCGCGGGCACTGGGGCCTTCGGTGGAGCTCCCTATGGAGCCACGAAACGTGTGAGGGGTGTGCCGAAATGGGTGTGGGTGACGCATGCGGCCGCGGGCACTGGGGCCTTCGGTGGAGCTCCCTATGGAGCCACGAAACGTGTGAGGGGTGTGCCGAAATGGGTGTGGGTGACGCATGCGGCCGCGGGCACTGGGGCCTTCGGTGGAGCTCCCTATGGAACCACGAAACGTGTGAGGGGTGTGCCGAAATGGGTGTGGGTGACGCATGCGGCCGCGGGCACTGGGGCCTTCGGTGGAGCTCCCTATGGAGCCACGAAGCGTGTGAGGGGTGTGCCGAAATGGGACGCATGCGGCCGCGGGCACTGGGGCATTCGGTGGAGCTCCCTATGGAGCCACGAAACATGTGCCGAAATGGGTGTGGGTGACGCATGCGGGCGCGGGCACTGGGGCCTTCGGTGGAGCTCCCTATGGAGCCACGAAACGTGTGAGGGGTGTGCCGAAATGGGTGTGGGTGACGCATGCGGGCGCGGGCACTGGGGCCTTCGGTGGAGCTCCCTATGGAGCCACGAAACGTGTGAGGGGTGTGCCGAATGGGTGTGGGTGACGCATGCGGGCGCGGGCACTGGGGCCTTCGGTGGAGCTCCCTATGGAGCCACGAAACGTGTGAGGGGTGTGCCGAAATGGGTGTGGGTGACGCATGCGGGCGCGGGCACTGGGGCCTTCGGTGGAGCTCCCTATGGAGCCACGAAACGTGTGAGGGGTGTGCCGAAATGGGTGTGGGTGACGCATGCGGGCGCGGGCACTGGGGCCTTCGGTGGAGCTCCCTATGGAGCCACGAAACGTGTGAGGGGTGTGCCGAAATGGGTGTGGGTGACGCATGCGGCCGCGGGCACTGGGGCCTTCGGTGGAGCTCCCTATGGAGCCACGAAACGTGTGAGGGGTGTGCCGAAATGGGTGTGGGTGACGCATGCGGCCGCGGGCACTGGGGCCTTCGGTGGAGCTCCCTATGGAGCCACGAAACGTGTGAGGGGTGTGCCGAAATGGGTGTGGGTGACGCATGCGGCCGCGGCACTGGGGCCTTCGGTGGAGCTCCCTATGGAGCCACGAAACGTGTGAGGGGTGTGCCGAATTGGGTGTTGATGATGATGATGATGATGATGATGATGATGATGATGATGATGATGATGATGATGATGATGATGATGATGATGATGGCAGGAGGGAGGGGGCAGCGGGAGGAAGGAGAACGCGGGGCACCGTCTCTTCAAAACGAGGACCCAACACCACAGGATGGTTGGGAAAAAGAAAGAGGAGAAAGCAATACGGACGAAGGAGGTGGGGGGGAGGGACGAAAGGGGAGGAAAGAAATGACAGGCAGGGGGGAAGGAGAAGGAACGCACAGGACTGCTGCCAACAGCAGCGGGAAGTCCCCCGGATCGGTGGCACTGGCCGGAGGCCAACACAAAAATTGTCACTGACGCGCGCGGCCAACCAGCCAACAAAAGGCCCGAACCAACGGCCAACCACGTATTTTTCGGCGGTGGACGAGCCTCCCTCTAGCAAAGCTCCCCTTCGTGACAGCGGCCTGGGACCGCATTCGACGGACCTGGACCCGCAAAAACGACGGCCGCGATTCCCTCTCGCGATCCGAAAACGGCCAATTCCTTGATCGACGTGTCAGGGTGGGATTGTGAACCATTGCAATGGACACTCTAACAATCCTGTCATTGAATAAAGCATGTGCTTATTAGTTTGTCTGACAATGCAATAATAAATGGTTCGCACATGTTTTTAACATGTTTAAAACATGCTTCACACGTGCTTTAGACATCTGGAAATTATTTGGCAGCATGCTTCCTCTCCATGGATCCTCCTCTACAAGGGTAGGACGCCTGTTCACCTCCGAATCTAGATTGCACGCCACTTCGCCGTGTGGCCAGCCAGCCAGCCGACGAGAGAACACAGACCAATCTGCCAGCCAGACGTGGCCGCGCCAACATTCCGAGGAGGGGCGGGGGCGGCGGCAGAGTGCGAAGCCCATCACACACACACACACGCACTCACACGCACAACATTGTTATAGTTGGTATACATGTGTGTGTCTTTCAAACGCTAGCGGGGCCATTACGGCGCCGAGATTCGCCGAGCGCGTTCCACTACTCGCAAAGTGCCTACTCGCAAGCGCCCGAAAAAACACCTGTCTGCCTGGACGTAATGTATCGTAGATCCCCGGCGAAGGATCCAGGCCATTTGCGAGTAGTTACTTTGCGAGTAGTGGAACCTGATCGTCGACAGATACACAAGCTACTGGCATGAGGGAATCACGGCGTGAGCCTCACGTACATCACCGAAGAGCTGCAGCGGCGAGGGCCCAGGATACGAACACCTTACAAAGCAACCTGGAGTCTCGAGGGCAAGCGGCGTACACCACCTTGACAGAGACGTAACTGAATCCGGGTCTGGCATTCGCAAAGACAAGACCCTTATATACCCAACGACTCTCCATCAACGCCCCAGGGGGACAGACGGGCTCACCACGTCTATCTCGAAGAGAATGGCGCCGTGGCCATGCAACGGGGTTTTAGGACGGATGGAAGAATCGTGGACCCGCCATCATTGCAATACAATCAGACCTGAGTGGACAGGACACGCGCGAGGACACAGTAACCCGGGAGGAGGAAGAGGACCGCGGCGGTGCGGGGCGGTGGCAAGGATCGAAGGGGGAAGGGGGGAAGGGGAACAAGGGAGCGGGGGGGGGGAAGAGGAGGGAAGGAAAGAAAGGGGAGGGGGATGGGGGCGTGAGGGGAGGGGGACGAGGAGAGAGCAACAGATCGGACAAGGTCAGGAACGCCTTCAGACGGCCAAAGAGAATCCCCAGGAGGCTCCAAAGGCCCCGCAGAGGCTCAAAGAACCCCCAAAGAGGCCTCCAAGGTCTCGGTCGCCTCCTCCTCCTCCTCCTCCTCCTCATCATCCCCTCCTCCTCCTCCTCCTCCTCCTCCTCCTCCTCCTCCTCCTCCTCCTCCTCCTCCTCATCATCATCATCATCATCATCATCATCATCATCATCATCCTTTCCTCCATCTCCTCATCTTCTTTGTCCCCCACGTGTTCCCCGAAGGCTTTACACAACGGGGGGAACACGTAGTCGGATAGCTTGGCCGAGCTCTGGCCACAACGTTCGGCCACACAGGCTCTTCTAAAAAGCAGAGGGCGCAGGCGATTCACCGTAGGCGTCTTCTTTCCGCCGCCCCCAGCGGCTGGCCACGAGGTTGCACGGCGTGCCTGACGTTAGACTGGTGTTAGCTATCTTTAAGGCCCCCTGGGGCCTTCGGCCTGACACGTTTGCCACATGGAAAATTCCGGCCCCATTGGCCTCCCCCCTCAAGATGGCCCCAACATGGCCTCCAAGACGGCCAAGACGGCCTCCAAAGCCGTGATTCGTCGTAGGCGCTTCGATCATAAAGAACAAAAGACGCTCACAAACGTGAACTTGTGGAGGTCCGCGCGGATTTTTCGGACTGGCGGTGGACCCACCTCCCTGGCGCGTGGAGTGCGTCAGGGGGGTCCCAGCGCCGATGCGAGAAATCCGCGCGGAGCTCCGAAAGTGAATGCTTGTGCAGATGTTGCACCTTCGAGATCAAAAGGGAACCCAGCGCGCACCTGTACTGCGCCGCCCCCATCGCACCTGCGTGCGCAACCGAATCCTGGGGAAGAGGGGGGGGGAGGGCTGGCGGTCCCGTCGGGCTATCCTTTTCATGGGTGAGCGATAGGTGGAGCGATAGCGATAGGTGCACCATTCGGTCGGAAGGAGTAGGTAGAAACATCAGGTAGGAAGGCGTTGAAAATAGATTGGGTGTTCGCCTGGCCCCTTAAGAGGTCGGAAGAGGTGAAGCTACTCGATCGTTGAAGTAGGAAGGCGCCTATAGTAGATTGGAACATGGGACTCCAGACATACCGACCTTCAACGACCGATGGGCGCCTGCCCTCCCCCTGATCGCCCCTGCTGATTCTGCTGTTGCTGCTGCTGCTGCTGCTGGTGCTCCTTCTCTTCCCCCTCCTCCTCCCCCTCCCCCTCCTCCTCCTCCTCCTCCTCCTCCTCCTCCTCCTCCTCCTCCTCCTCCTCCTCCGGGGGAAGTATGCCCCCCTCAGCGCCCCACGCCATCACGCAGCCGCCCGAGCCCGAGAGCCCGACGTGCCGCTCGAGCCCATGGCAGGGCGGGCCTCCGCGCAGGGCGACTCGTCCTCCTCGGCCGTGGAGGCGTCGGGGTCGACGTAGGGCGCCGCGGCCGCCTGCCGGCGGCCCTCTTGGTTGGGCATGTCCTCCACCGCCGCCACCACACCACAAGCAGGAGGGGGAGGGGGTCCTCCTCCTCCTCTTCCTCCTCCTCCTCCGCCACCTCCTCCACCTCCTCCTCCTCCACCTCCTCCTCTCCTCTTCCTCCCTCTCCACCACCAGAAGTAGGGAGAGGGGGTCCTCCTCCTCCTCCTCCTCCTCCTCCTCCTCTTCATCCTCCTCCTCCTCCTCCACCTCTTCCTCCTCCTCTTCTCCCTCCCCCTCCACCACCACAAGTAGGGAGAGGGGGTCCTCCTCCTCTAGGCTGGCTTCCCGGCCCCCCCAAAACTAATAAGGATTTTGGCGGATTTTGGCCCTCGAAGACCCTGGAGTACGCGGCAACCCGCGGCAACCTCAACGGCATGGCTGTTGCGAGGCGTCTGCGCGGCAGCAGCGTCCAACGACGCGGATCGATCGCGGCCCTCGCGCGTAATCTGCGTTGCCCCAGCAAGGAGGCAGCGTGGCATATGCAGGGAAACAGCGCTCATACAGCATGGCAACAGCCAGGCGTCCGCATGGCAAGTGCATGGCCGTAGCTCGGCCACTGAACGACATACGTTAGGCAACCGCGTAGCAGTAGCACGGCAAACACACGGCAATCGGAAGGCGCTCGCACGGCAACACTACTGCAATCGCACGACAGTGGCATGGCAACTGCACGGCAACTGCATGGCAACACCGTGGCGACAACATGGCAACAGCATGGCAACGGCATGGCAAGCGCATGGCAACAGCATGGCAACAGCATGGCAACGGCATGGCAACAGCGTGGCAACTGCATGGCAACGGCATGGCAAGCGCATGGCAACAACATGGCAACAGCATGGCTTCAGCATGGCAACGGCACGGCCACGGCATGGCAAGCGCATGGCAAGCGCATGGCAACAGCATGGCAACAGCACGGCCTCGGCATGACAACGATATGGCAAGCGCATGGCAACAGCATGGCAACAGCATGGCAACAGCATGGCCACGGCATGGCAATAGCATGGCAACAGCACGGCCAGGGCATGGCAACGACATGGCAAGCCCATGGCAACTGCATGGCAACGGCATGGCAACGGCATGGGAATGGCGTGGCAAGCGCATGGCAACAACATGGCAACAGCATGGCAACATCATGGCAACAGCGTAGCAACAGCATGGCAACAGCAAGGCAACGGCATGGCAAGCGCGTGGCAACAGCATGGCAACAGCTTGGCAACGGCATGGCATCAGCGCGGCCACGGCATGGCAACGTCACGGCAATAGTATGGGAGCCCCATGGCAACAGCATGGCAACTGCATGGCAAATGCATGGCAACAGCGCGGCCACGGCATGGCAACGGCATGGCAAGCGCGTGGCAACAGCAGGGCAACAGCATGAAAACAGCATGGCAGAGGCATGGCAACCGCATGGCAACTGCATGGCAACGGCATGGCAACGACACGGCAACGGCATGGCTGCGGCATGGCAACAGCATGGCAATAGCACGGCCTCGGCATGGCAACGGCCTGGCAAGCGCATGGCAACAACATGGCAACACCATGACAACAGCATGGCAACAGCACGGCCACGGCAAGGCAACGGCATGGCAAGCGCATGGCAACGGCATGGCATCAACATGGCAACATCATGGCACCGGCATGGCAACAGCACGGCCACGGCATGGCAACGGCATGGCACGCGCATGGCAACACCATGGCAACAGCACGGCCACGGCATGGCAACGGCAAGGCAACTGCGTGCCATCTGCGTGGCAGTCGCATGGCACTAGCATGGCAGCTGCGTGGCAATCGCATAGCAATAGCATGGGAGCCCCATGGCAGCAGCATGGCAACAGCATGGCAACGGCATGGCAACAGCGTGGCAACTGCACGGCCACGGCATGGCAAGCGCATGGCAAGCGCATGGCAACAACATGGCAACAGCATGGCAACAGCACGGCCACGGCATGGCAACGGCATGACAAGCGCATGGCAACGGCATGGCAACAGCATGGCACCAGCATGGCAACAGCGCGGCCACGGCATGGCAACGGCACGGCAAGCGCATGACAACGGCATGGCAACAGCACGGCCACAGCATGGCAACAGCATGGCAGCAGCATGGGAACAGCGTGGCAGCAGCGAGGCCACCGCATGGCAACTGCATGGCATCAACATGGCCACAACATGGCAGCAGCATGGCACCGGCATGGCGGCAGCACGGCAACAGCATGACATCACGGCAACGGCATGGCAACAGCATGGTATCGGCATGGCGGCAGCGAGGCCGCCGCACGGCATCAACATGGCAATGACATGGCGACAGCATGGCAACAGCACGGCCACGGCATGGCAACGGCAAGGCGAGAGCATGGCAACAGCATGGCAGCAGCATGGCAAGAGCATGGCATCAGCATGAGAGTAGCATGGACGCAGCATGACAATGGCATGGCATCAGCATGGCAACAGCATGGCAGCAGCATGGCAACGGCATGGCAGCAGCACGGCAACAGCATGGCAGAGGCATGGCAACCGCATGGCAACAGCTCGGCCACGGCATGGCAGAGGCAGGGCAAGCGCATGGCAACAGCATGGCAACCGCATAGCAACAGCATGGCAACTGCACGGCCACGACATGGCAACATCATGACAAGCGCAAGGCGACAGCATTGCAACACCATGGCAACAGCATGGCAGCAGCATGGCAACTGCACGGCCACGGCATGGCAATGGCGTGGCAAGCGCAGAGCAACATCATGGCAACGGCATGGCAACAGCATGGCAACTGCATGGCAACGGCATGGCGAGCGCATGGCAACGGCATGACGACGGCAAGGCACGCGCATGGCAACAGCATGGCAACAGCATGGCAACGGCATGGCAAACGGCATGGCAACAGCATGGCGACAGCATGGCAACAGAACGGCCAGGGCATGGCAACGGCATGGCAAGCCCATGGCAACAGCATGGCAACAGCATGGCAACGGCATGGCAATAACGTGGCAACTGCATGGCAACGGCGTGGCAAGCGCATGGCAACAACACGGCAACGGCATGGCAACATCATGGCAACAGCATGGCAACAGCGTAGCAACAGCATGGCAACAGCATGGCAACGGCATGGCAAGCGCATGGCAACGGCATGGCAACAGCATGGCAATGGCATGGCAGCAGCGCGGCCACGGCATGGCAACGGCATGGCAAGCGCATGGCAACGGCATGGCAAGCGCATGGCAACTGCATGGCAATGGCATGGCAACTGCGCGCCCACGGCATGGCAACGGCATGGCAACAGCACTGCAACAGCATGGCAAAGGCATGGCAAACGCATGGCAACTGCATGGCAACGGCATGGCGAGCGCATGGCAACGGCATGGCAACGGCATGGCTGCGGCATGGCAACATAACGGCCTCGGCATGGCAACGGCCTGGCAAGCACATGGCAACAGCACGGCAACAGCATGGCAACAGCACGGCCACGGCATGGCAACGGCATGGCAAGCGCATGGCCACGGCATGGCAACGGCATGGCAAGCGCATGGCAACGGCATGGCAACGGCATGGCAACAGCATGGCAACGGCATGGCACGCGCATGGCAACAGCATGGCAACAGCATGGCAACACCACGGCCACGGCATGGCAACGGCACGGCAACTGCGTGCCATCTGCGTGGCAGTCGCATGGCAATGGCATGGCAGCTGCGTGGCAATCGCATGGCAATAGCGTGGCAGCCCGCGGCAACAGCTCGGCAAAAGCATGGCAACAGCGCGGCTCTCACGCGACGCTAGCGTGGCAACTGCGCGGCAATCGCGCGCCAACGCAGCGGCGACGGCTGGCCATAGCACGGCAGCAGCGTGGCAGGAGCATGGCGTCGGCATGGCTGCAGCATGGCGACGCAGAGGCGCCGACTTGCGCAAGTCAGGGGGGTAATTTTTCCGGAAATTCCTGAAAAATTACCCCCCTGACTCGCGCAAGTCAGGGGGGTAATTTCTCAGGAATTTCCAAAAAAAATACCCCCCTGACTTGCGCGAGTCAGGGGGGTAATTTTTCAAGAATTTCCTGAAAAATACCCCCCTGACTTGCGCAAGTCAACGCCTTCCCGCGTGGACCTGCCCAAATCGCCCCGGGGATCGTCCAGCAAGTCGTCCCGCATTGGCACCGCGATGGATCGGCGATGGCATGGCGACGGCATGGCAACGGCATGGCAACATCATGGCAACAGCGCGGCCACGGCATGGCAACCGCATGGCAAGCGCATGGCAACGGCATGGCAACGGCATGGCAGCAGCATGGCAACGGCATGGCAACAGCAAGGCCACAGCATGGCCACGGCATGGCAACGGCATGGCAAGCGCATGGCAACGGCATGGCAACGGCATGGCAACAGCATGGCAACGGCATGGCAACAGCGTGGCAACAGCACGGCCACGGCAAGGCAACGGCATGGCAAGCGCATGGCAACAGCATGGCAGCGGCATGGCAACAGCATGGCAACGGCATGGCAACAGCATGGCAACAGCGCGGCCACGGCATGGCAACGGCATGGCAAGCGCATGGCAACGGCATGGCAACGGCATGGCAACGGCATGGCAACGGCATGGCAACAGCATGGCAACAGCCCGGCCACGGCATGGCAACGGCACGGCAAGCGCATGGCAACGACAAGGCAACGGCATGGCAGCAGCATGGCAACGGCATGGCAGCAGCATGGCAAAGGCACGGCCAGGGCATGGCAACGGCATGGCAAGCGCATGGCAACGGCATGACAACGGCATGGCAACAGCATGGCAACGGCATGGCAACAGCATGGCAACAGCACGGCCACGGCATGGCGACGGCATGGCCAGCGCATGGCAACGGCGTGGCCACGGCATGGCAACAGCATGGCAACGGCATTGCAACAGCATGGCAACAGCGCGGCCACGGCATGGCAACGCATGGCAAGCGCATGGCAACAGCATGGCAACGGCATGGCAACAGCATGGCAAC